TTCGAGGTTTTTCATTTGAGCGAGTCATACATGTATGAATAGATAGTGATTCAAATGAAACCATCGAAGGGCCCTTATAGATATGGTAGGACCTACAGTTAGACTACCAACCCTAGGAGGTTTCCCTCGTAGCCATACGATACAACCAAGGGGATTTAAGCTTGATCTCGGTGAAGTTGATTTATATATCTCTAACCTAGACTTGACTTGCCAAGGAACACAAGACCTTGGTGTTGGCAAGATGAAAATGTGCATATGTCAAAAATTTTCTTATCCACTTTTTCTTTTAAATCATTCTTTTGTGTATAAAATCATCATTTGATAATCGTGGGCCTTAATTCATTTATAGCTCTCACAATCATTCTATAGGAGTTTTGAATAAACTAGATGAGTTGATTAGAGTTTAATAGAAGTTGCTCAACGTGGGCTAATATATTTGAATCAGAGAACATCAATCTCACCCATCGAGTCGAGGAATTGATCGATCAACTTCAATTGGGTAAATCCCTCTAGCAACAATATAACAATATCAAAAGTAGATAAAAAATATAGATTAACTTATAAGTGATTAACAGGTATACTACTATTAACTTGGGCTAATGGATTAGACTCGAAAAGTTAATATGTCAATTATCCGATTGAGTTAAATTATGATAATTGATATTACGGCTAACCAATCGAACATGGATATGGTGAGACGCTTGAGTAGGAAAGACCTGACTAGGCTATAGGATAATTTTTTTTTAATGAAATTAGTGAGTTAGTTATTTCATAGACAACTATTTGGTCACCTTTAGATAAAATCAGAGGTCTTTACTCATCACTCGATTAGGGCTCATATGGTCCACGATAAAGTATAATTCTGGGCTATGTAAGGCTTTAACTTATTAAGCCTTTAAATAGGAGAGATTGTAATATCTCAGTTTAGTCCCAAACTAAAAATAAGTCCCTCTTCTAATGGTGATTTGATTGTATGTTCATTAACTATGATATTTTCTAAAATCCTCTATTGTTATAGTAATTAAATTTCTTTTTAATCCAAATTCACATCATGCAGAATATGCTTTATGTATCTTGATGGATTCACAATGAAGGAAATAAGGAAACTTTATCTTATCTCAAGCATGTTGATTTTTATCCTATGTTTCAATAAGTCAAAATTATTTCTATTTGATGCAACTTTCCTATCTCTTTGGAATGTTGGATTTAAGAGGGGCTATATACAATTGTGATAATCCTCAATCAATCAATAAAAGTGAAAAGAAAATCTCTAAAATTTGAAAGGGGCTGGTTCATTAGATTTTGTTGCAATTGATTTATCTATCCCATATAGACATTCGTAAGCATAGATCAAACTACAAATGATTTGACACTAATTTAACCTAAAAGCTCAAGTTGACTGAATTATGAGTCAAAATTAATAAAATTTATAACTCTTAGTCATCTTTTTAAACTTTATAAATAAATGTCGCTAAGATGAACTAATTTTTGTTGGCTCGGTGCCAGTAGGAGTCCCTCAATTGCTTGCCTCCATTTGCAATAAGTTAGGTTTGATCCTTATAACCTCACATATGCTTTCATCCTTGATGAATTAAGCCATCATGCTATACCAAAGATGCTTTCGGAAGTCATAGATGTAATCCATTCTAGAGCCTCCTGATCATTTGATTGATGATTAACATCGTCTCAAAAAAATTACTAATGAGCTACGTGTTATTGCCCAAGCTCTTCACCTACACCATAATATCGTTCACCATCTCCTAAAGCTTCAAGACCTTCAAGTCGAACCCTTGGCTCATAGTGAAGCTATAGGTTATGATCAAAACATTATTGTTCGACTCTGCTAGCTTATCGTAACAAGACCAATAGCACTGATCATTTCCTGAAGGAAGATGGATTATTAACAATATCACTTATTCGTGGTTAAAGTTCATAAATTATGACTTCCCATGATTGTATTAGGATATATAATTTTTCACTATGAAAATAAATGTCTATTGGATTTAAAGCTTCTAAAATCCAATAGTCACCTATTGTCATCATTACGATTATGTCTATCGTTTTGTGATATCTTATGTAGCCTATAACTAACAGCATATAGTCTTTTGTTATAATAGAGATGTCGATAGGATGCCATTAACGATCTTAGTGAAGAATGCTAACAACTCAACCTTACCTCTAGTGATTGGATTCAAGAGGCAAAGATGAAGAGAGTCATGATTATATTCCCTCTACGACATTAGTAGTCAACCTTTGGATACTCAGGCTTGAAGATAATCCAAGAATTTGATGTCTAAGACTAGTTTACTAATGATGATCTACAAGTCCCAACACATAGAAAATGGAGACAAACATCCACAGAATGAGCAATCTCAAGGAAGCCTATAGTGGAAGTGGTCAACAAACAAAACTCGTAAACTATGATAATACAAATACGATTAGAAATTCTCAAGCACTTGAGTAACATCTCCAACAAATCGAGCAAGAGTTGATTGTCATCCTTCTTCTTTGTTGATGGAGTTTCAACATTGGAAGCCATGCATACTTTGTTCGATCCTGCATATCAATAAGGTAGTAAATAGGTGTATATATATATATATATATGTATATGTGTGTATATGTACTTATATATATATATATATATATATATATATACATATACATATGTATATATATATGTATATATACATATATATGTATATATACATATATATGTATATATACATATATATGTATATATACATATATATGTATATATGTATATAT